TTTAATGGAAACATTAAAATGCTTAAAAACCAGCAAAAATATTGATTCTGGAAATTTTGCAGTAGAAATGCTTTGATTTTGTTATATTTCATATATAAATATAATTATTCAGGATTACCCATTTTTGCCAGCAAATATTTTTTTTTTACAAAAAAACATCCAAAAAATCCAATGGTTTGTCTTTCGAAAGGTTATAAATTATGGATTAGCACACATTCAATGATATATCCTATCAATAAAAAGTGGATAACATAAACTACTATGAGATTCAGAATTGCTCATACAGATTTGTACTGATGCTAAAGTATACTTTAAAAGCTAGTGAAACAATAAAAGAGCTCAACAGATCCTTGAGAAGGACAAAATCACCTGCAAATAAACCTAGACCAAGTATCAGAAAATCTAGACACCAATAAAAGTGATGATATAGAAACACTGTACTCAAAAGTCTTGATCCTTGACAAAAAGGTATTGAGAGGTAGCAAATGAACATTCTTGTGGATAATATGGATGAAAAATTTACGTAATATATGATATAAAATGAGACGTACTCTTACAATTACTAATATAAATATCATTTTATCATCAAATTATTCCGGTAATTCTGTTTATTCTATGACAATTTGAGCAAAAGTACCAAATAATTTGTCCTGTTTGGATTTGGAATATGTTTATTCCTTAAAGGACATTCTTAGTTTTTGTTTATCCTAGTAAATGTGATGATCCTTCCTACCCAATTGCGAGCCAAACTGTCACTTCCTTTCTTAATTTCTCTACTTTATTTTAATCGCAAATTGAACATGAATTGAATATAATTACCTCAATTTAGACAAAACTAACTGTAACAATTATTGTATCTCTTTCATTTATATAACTTTGGACCAAACTTAAAGATTATTGCTTTCCGCCTCCATCTTTCTTACGTATGTTTCGTTAGAATAATCTGAAACGTTTTAAATCTACTATAAACACTATAAAGTGTATAAGAAAATTGCACATGAAAAATATAAGTTAAATATCTATCAGAAAAGATTTGTGATAAGTCGTTACTTGATAAAAATGTATTAAAGTGCGCATTTAATAACATCCTACCGTGATTCGTGAAAAAAAACGAGGATGAAAATATTTTGGAACTATTGCATAGCAGGTCCAAATTAATTATTATGATTTTTTTTATCAACCAAGTTAAATTTGAAAATTATAGAATTCTGTATTATTTTTTAAAGCACCATTAATATCACACGTGAATTTATGGTGTATACAGAGCTTCTTAAGGTGGTAAGCAAGCATATTATAAAAATCTATGTATGTTTGCGAATGCAAATACCAGGACACAAGGTAACGATAAAGTAAAATGAAGAACTAGTTCCTTAATACCACAGATGCCTATGACGCTTCTAAGCGTTTACTGTCTGTTGAAGATCTTGTTAATCACGGAAGTTTCCCTTGGCGCTAAATAGGCTACGTGGCATGGGCAGCTAAATTGTTCCTCTAAATGAATTTGAAATCCCGTCTCTCTAACATATTTATGTGAATAACTGTATGAAGGCAAAGTAAAGAGCATTGGGTGCTGTCTTTTTGTTCCAACTATCTTATTACATTACTTCTATAGCATCAAATAATAATTCATAAATTGTCAGCATTATAAGCCAGTGCATGTTGATTGTTATTATAATAATGAAACTTTATTAATCTTTATTTATTCTGCATAGTTGGCACAAAAACATCAACATGGATAAATAGTTTATTTGATAATAATTGAAGAGTGGAAGTAACAAAGGGGGGTAAGTGCCAAAATTTATATTTTGAGATAATTAACCCTTGAGTTGGCAATGTATCCTATAGGATACATCAACAGTATGCTATTATAAATACATTTGTGCAATACCTATGTGTATTCTGGGTAGTATAAATTCATTTAGAACTATGTTGTCAATAGGCTTGCTGTTAGTTGATTTCATAATTTGAGTTACAAAGTAATAATTTGCATGGTGATTCAGTGTTAATGAAAATGTTGAGATATAGCAGACTTGCAGTATTTGTTATCTTATTTAAATTATTGAGGTATTTATTAGAATTGAAAATATAAGATGTGTTTCCAAATAATCAAGTCGTATTTATACTTATACAAATTATTTTTGTAAAGTAATCTCGGTCACAAAGGACAGAAGGTAGATGTATCTTATAGGATACATTATCAAGTTCCTAAGCATACCTTATTTTGTTTTATTTCTATAAATGTGCAGTGAATTATTTTACACAAAGACAATAATCTGTCACATAAAATGAAAATAAAAGTATTAATAAATTTCTTTATGTAATTCTAGCGCCAGGGAAGCAAACAGTGTTGGCCACTGAAAGGTTCCCAATGGCAAGACCTCTATGGCTTCTGTTCAATAAATTGCTAACTGAAGGCGTTTTTCCCATCAAGTGGAAAACATCATTTGTTAAACCTTTGTTGAAGTCTGGAGATCCTTCGCTAATTACTAATTACAGATCGATTACCAGTTTATCGTCAATTCCTAAAGTTTTCGAGAGTATTGTTAATGACCAACTAAGTGAAAAGCTTTCAAATGTGATTAGTAGGAAACAACATGGCTTTCACGTTGGCAGATCAACTACGACCAATTTGATGCTCTTCACTGAGTATGTTGCTACTGCTGTAGAAGATAGTCTTCAAGTAGATGCAATTTATACAGATTTGACGAAAGCTTTTGATCGAGTTGACCACAATATTTTAAAGGGTAAATTGTATGCTCTAGGAATTTATGGACAGGCTTTGAACTGGCTAATTTCTTATTTTACAGATCGTGTTTGTCGTGTCAAAATTAAAAATGCCATTTCTAGTGAATATGCAGCGATATCAGAGGTCCCTCAGGGATCACATTTGGGCCCATTGTTATTTAGCATTTACATTAATGATGTGGTGAAACAATTAAATGATACTGAAGTTTTAATGTATGCTGAAGATATCAAATTGTATAATATCGTTAAAGATCCCTCTGATTGTCTCATACTGCAGAACAATTTAGACAGTTTGAACGAATACTGCTTTTTGCTTGGATTATTAATTAATCCCTTAAAATGTAAGGTAGTGTCTTTTTATAAGGGGTTTAATATAAACCTAATTAATCATACTTATGAGTTGCATGGAAATCGTATTAATAAAGTTGACAGTATAAAAGATCTTGGGGTTATATTTCAATCTAATCTGTCTTTTTCTCAGCATGTCGATTATGTTGTTGGGAAAGCCTTAAGACAGTTAGGATTCGTGAGAAGGCACTCGGCAGACTTTGTGAATTTGCATACAATTAAAATCTTATTTTATTCAGTCATAAGGTCACATTTGGAATACTGTTCTGTTATTTAGTCACCATATGTGCAAATTCATATTGAAACGCTTGAAAGAGTACAGCGTAGATTTTTAATGTATTGTTCTTTTAAATTGTCACTACCGTACTCTTATACAAATATGCTTGCCACAACAAATAATGAAACGTTAGCTTCCCGAAGAGAGTTTATTGATTTTCTATTTATCTTTAAACTTATTTGCAAAGTGTAGATTTTTATATCCCGCCTAGGCCGTTGCGTGGTAGCTCCACATTTGCTTTGAAAGCTCATAGAACTAACTATGGCCAGACTTCTGAGAAATACTAATACATTTGCAGCAAAACAGAATATTGATATTTTTAACTCTTCCCTGTATCAAGTGAAAAGAGTGGTGAAGTAAAAAAATGTGTTAGGTCTACATAGTATTTTTATATTTATGTATATTTTTTATACTATAAACTTGTATTTTGTAAATGGTTTAAACCGTATGATAAATAAATAAATATTCTTTGCACAAGTCCATGTGAAAATTATATAGTTAGCATTACCGTAGGTAGGAAACGAATAATAGCAGCGTTGCCAGTTTAAACGTGGCAGCAAAACAACAACTTCCTCAACGAGATATCCGCTTCGACAATGTGGGGGCATTTTGCAATATATGGCCAAAAATAAAGATGCGGTTTATGTCAAAATCGCCAAACTGCAATTTTTTACCAAAAATGCAACGTCAGACTTTGTTTGGTGAATTCAAAGAACTGCTTCCTAACATTCCATAATAAATGACACTTAAATAGATATAGAAATTAAATATTAAAGTAAATTACAAATATGTTATATACTTGGCAATGTATCCTATAAGATACATGTTAGTATTTTTTTTAAATATAATGTAAAATTTTTTTTAAAGTTGATATCTTATTTTATAACCATTATTTAGTGGTTTTTAAATAAAAAATTTTTTTTGTAATGATTGTTTCTGTTACTGCCAACTTAAGGGTTAAGAAAAAAATAAAACATCGACTTACATAGCTTGAACTTCCCAGATTTTTCTTGACAAGGAATGACATTTCCAGACATTTCTGGACTATTCTATCTTCTTCTTTTACTCGTACTTTTACTTATGACGACGTAGCACACTGTAGGGCGATGGGTGACATTGCACTTCGTTTTGTATTCGTACGTTTCCTATAACAGCCGCAGGCTACTGCAGGGTAACAATACTTTATCTAAAGGTGCCATTTGGGAGACAGCGACCGCGAAATGTGTCTCTTACGTCTTAATCACATGTAATTAAATGAAGCACATTTGGGAGAGCGCGACAGATGCAATAAGTGACGCGACAGCACTTTTTTAACCCGGCAGTTTTTGCTGCCCGTCACTGTCGTTTGCATCGGTCTCGCGTAATGTGATGCAGCAGTAATGGAAGCAGCCCCACAGTAAATAAGATGATTTTTTTATTGTTTTAAAATTAATAATTGTGTTTTGGCATTTATTACGTTTCTATATTTTTTAGAAAAATCATTATTTTTTCGATGCTTTTATATACTAACTGGTTTTTTTGTTTTAAACTGATTTTCCATGTTGCTCCTAAGCTAAATTTTGAACAAATAAAGAATACATAATGTATTATGTTGTTTTATTTTTTCTTAATTATCTCAAAATATCAATTTTGGCACTTGTCACCTTTGTTACTTCCACTCTTCAATTAATAGCCAAAAAAATCATCATCACCAAGATCTGCGTCAGAATCAAAATGTGCCGCTAAAATACCAAAACCCACCCATAGGTGAATACATATTTAATTAGTTTGTTTTCATCTAAGGGGCTTGTGGATAAATTTTATAATTTCCTATGGGAAATTTTCATGTTTATGAATTAAAAAAAAAAACATCACATAATGAGAGTTTCAAAAACGATTATTTTTTACTCCTTCACCATTCTGAAACTAGCTCTATCCTAAGAAATGTTTTAATAGTTTAGTTACATGGGACGGTAAAAACGTTTGAACACCGCTGCCTTAGATGATCAATTTTATATCGTACATGACTCATTTTTCTTCAATTACAATGGAAAATTAAGTTTTAAATACAATTTTGTATAGAACATATTTTTTCATTGTCCATAAATGAGTATGACAAAAAATTAACTTAGACCCGCTTATGTAAAGAGTATTATTTTATAAAATATTCTGCTCCAATCAAATTTCCAAATTATTACATCACAATAATGTAAATAACACCATTTTAAAGACTGCTTCCACAAAAAAAATCAAGTCAAATTTCTACATACATCTATAACATTGCTATTGGACAATTATTATTTGAGAATGAAAATCTACGCTTTATTTCATTGAATAAACTTTGAAAGAAGCTATAAAAATAAATATACCAAATGTTTTGGTATTTCGCAAAAAAAATAGTATCACTAGGATTGTCAAATTGTTGCACATAAAAATATATAATATTAAATACCTGGAGTGGAATTTTTTAGATAATATTTGTTTCCAACTGCCAAGTTTAACAGATGATGTACCATTAAAATAAACAGCTATTCTATTTAGTCACACATTTAAATAAAAAAAAGTCGGCACTGCTTAGATACAATAGCTTAAAAAACGTTTCATGAAAACTATATAATTTTAACTTTATTATTGTTTTAACCTCTTTGCAGAAATTATTAAATACAGTTCGACTTAATTTTAAAAATATCATGCAATTCTTTGTACTTTATTTTTGTTTTAATGATAGATCATCTATTAGCAACAATGTGAACGTTACAAAAAATTTCTGCTTAGGGCATGCACTCCATAAGGGCAATTTTGTCAAATTTAAAATTGAGCCAAGAAGGGGCCGAAAACTGAGAATCAAAACTATCCTCATTGGCAAACAGCTGCCTTTTAGAATGGTGAGGTGGTTTTCTTTCTGTACGTTTTTTGATATGCCTCATATCGTCAGTGTCAGATTTATGGATTGACTTTGTCCTACAAAAAGAAAGACATTATTTTTTAGAGCAAAAAAATGACACAATATAAATGAAAAGATATAGTTATACTGAAATTCTGACCATTTGCAAACTGACGTCATTTTAGATTGCCAACATATTTTACAATCCCTTTACAGAGCAATGAACTTACGAAAGAAGTAACTTAGTTTATGATGGAACACAGTGTTGTTACAAATCTCCTAAGTGCAGTTAACCACATGACAACAACCAGCCAATTGATGTGATATATCTTGATTATAAGAAAGTTTTTGATAAAGTTCCACATAGAAAGGCTGCTTAGCAAACAGGAACACTTTGGAATGAGAAGCAATCTATTATTGTGGATTAAGAGTTTCTTATTCAACCGACAGTTCTGCATAAGAATAAACGGTGGAGTATCAGAAGGTTCGGTCTTGGGTCCTCTATTATTTATTTTATACACCAGCTATTTATGCAAAATAGAGTCTGAAGCCGACTTTTATGCAGACGACGGAAAGCACCAATGCAAGCCACTTTAAAGCAATCATTAAATTAAATAAGACTTGAATAAAATAGAAATCTTGTCCCAGCAATGGCTACTACCTCTCTACATAAATAAGTATACATTATAGCCATTGGCCCAACTAATCCCCACACACAGTACGCCATAAATACAAACACAATAACTTAATAATAATATTTATTAATGCCAGGAACAATATTATACAGAAAAAATACAGCTTCATTGAGTGTGTCGATTGACTGTTCTTAATAATAATAATAATAATAAATCTGAAAATGTATGAGAGCATATCAAGTTGTTGTAGTAACAATCCAAAAAGAGTAAAGATGTCTAATTTATCTCCAGTTAAACATGCTATTATAAAAAACGTCTATGATATCCGTGCGCTATTTTCCAATCTTCTGACAGAATAAATTTGTTCTGAATATAAAAAAGTTTCAGTAACTATAGTTTTAAAAGAAAACTAATTAGGAAACATATTACTAACATTCGAAAAATAAAAGCTGATGGGACATAAAACTAGTCTTGAAAAATATGTAGATTAATGTTATGTGGTGCACTGAAATAGTAATAAAATTAGCGTTCAAATCAAGTGTCACACTTTACAATACATAACAGTTTTTTTATCAAGCTAGAGGGCGCTAAAATCAAAAATAATACAATGAATAGTCTTATTGTTGAATGCTACAAATACAAAAAAGTGTCTCCCTGCCAAATAACAAGATGGTCTGTTTTGAGTGGTAGATTCTGTATATTAAGACATGTTTTTATTGATAAATGATTTACTGAATATAATTGGCAACTAGTGATAATTCCCTTAAAAAATTGTGCAGCAATATCTCACATGTGGTGTGGAAATGTACCATTAGTTATCTTAAAACTTTTCAAAATTGTTAAAATAAGTTTTAAAACTAAATATTAATTCATCAATTCCCTGTTTTACCTCTGAACTTCCACATATTGTGACTGATGACGCCAGTTTGCAAATGATCAGGTTGAAAGTATAGGTATCAAAAATCAAATAGTTACCTGCTTCTTGAGTTTACTGTATCATTTTCAGAAAAACTTGCTGATTTATGCCTAAGCCTAGGATGATTTGTACTGCCGTTAAGATTACAGAAGTGCTTCAGTCTTTTCACGAATGGCAAAACCATGAAAAATGCGTTTGCATTCACACCAATTTTGGTTTTCGGAGTGGAATCTTTTTTGCTGGTTGGCAAGTCAGATATGGCAAACCAAGAACATGATTTGATTTCACAGCGAGTTTTTGGACAGAATTTAGTTGACATCGGGATATTCTTTATTAGATATAATCTGAAATCAACCAATCAAAGTTATAAACACCAATAATCTAAATATTATGTGTTTCAAAAGTGTAAAAAAAATATAGTCACCTGACTAGTTGATCATTTATAGTTGACTCAAAGTAATCTTCAGGATTTAAATAGCTACTGATGTCAAAACCAGTTTCTTCCAGTACTTCCCTGATAGCACAATGTGCAGGATTTTCTTCTTCATTTACTTTACCCTTTGGAAAACTCCAAGATGACTTGGCCCAATAACTTTGGACTAGAAGAACGTGGGATAAGTTCTCAGATAAAATAATGGCCCCATAAGTGGGTACACTTAATTTGTATTCCTTCCATTCTTCAAGGATTTCATTAAGTTTGTGACTTTCACTTTTTAAGTTGGGGATGTGCTGAATAAAAAAATATCTAGGGTTATTTTTAGAATGAAAAGCGTTTAATTTATATTTATGTAAAAGTGTTATCCTTTGAAATGTAATCTTGAAAAGATACAAATATAAATAAGAAATTACTTTAAAATGTTCATCCAGTTACAAATCAAAGACCAGAAAAAATAGTTAACCGTTTTTGATACATCATTTCAAATCAAGTAAAGAAAAATAAACACAAAAATTCATCAACCATGTTTTGTGATTTTAACTAACCTGGAATACATGGGCAGCAAATTCATAAATGCTACATGCTTTTAAACGACTGTCATTGCTAACATAGAAGTCCAAATAGAACCAATGGGCTAATTCAATTTGAAAACATATCCTTATTAAGTTCTGCTTAGCAGATTCTGGCACACATATTATAAATCTCCTGTGAAAAAGAATAATTTATTTATATATTTCAGAATCATTAAATTTTTATTTGTTACTGTATAAATGAAGAGCTTACATGCAAAACTTAACAAGTGCAACGTTTGAAATAAATTATTTGGTGCCATATCAAAGAAGGCAGCAGAGCACCTATGCAATTTTAAGTTGAAACATATGCCATAGTTTTAGGCTATTTTAATAACATATTCAAAAATTTTATGCTCCTCGTTTTTTTGCAAAAAATAAGGTGCTATGTTAGCTTCGAACAAAGTCAGCAGAGCACCTCAGTTTTTTTAGGTTATTTTCTAAAAACAATGACACGATACTTTTAGGCTCTTAAAATATTAGAAAACTTTACAAAAAAAATTATTTTTAAAAAATATAGGGTGCTTTGCTAGCTTCGTTTTTTTAAAGCCTTTTTCTAAAAACAACCACACCACATTTATAGGCTATTTTTAGGCTCTTAAAATATTATAAAACTTTACAAAAAATTGCAATTTATAACACAACGTGCTTTGTTGGAACTAAGTCAGCAGAGCACCTAGACATTTTAAAGCATTTTTCTAAAAACAGCCACACTCGATTTTTAGGCTCTTATTCAGAGTGCTTTGCTGGCTTTGAACGAATCCAGCAGAGCACCTCAGTTTTTCAAAGCGTTTTTTCTAAAAGCAACCACTCCACATTTTTAGGCTCTTGAAATATAAAACTTTTCGAAAAAATTTGTATATTTAAAAAAATACAGGGTGCTTTGAGCTTCGAAAGAATCCAGCAGAGCACCTCGGTATTTCAAAGCATTTTATCTAAAAACAACCACACCACATTTTTAAGTTATTTTTAGGCTCTTGAAATATTATAAAACTCTTAAAAAATGAGTATTTTTTAAAAAATACAGAATGTTTTGTTGGAACAAAGTCAGCAGACCATGTCAGTGTCAATTTTTTTTTCTGAAAATAGCTTATGCCACATGTTTAAGCTTTTTTTAGGCTCTTGAAATATTATAAAACTCAAATGAGTCTTTTTTTAAAAAATACAGGATGCTTTGTTGGAACAAAGTCAGCAGACCATGTCAGTGTGTTAATTTTTTTTCTTCTGAAAACGGCTTATGCCACATTTTTAAGCTATTTTTAGGCTCTTGAAATATTATAAAAGTTAAAAAATTGAGTATTTTTTTAAAAAAATACAGCGTGCAGCCTTTAAAAGAATCCAGCAGAGCACCTAGGTTTTTTAAAGCCTTTTTTTTCTAAACACAACCACACTACATTTTTAGGCTATTTTTATACTCTTGAAATATTATAAAACTTCATTTAAACGAAACCAGCAGAGCATCTCCGTTTTTTAAAGTTTTTTCTTAAAAAGAACTACGCCTAATTTAAGTCTATTTTTAAACTCTTAAAATATAAAACATTCCAAAAAAAATTGCCAATTGTAAAAAATACGACGTGCTTTGCTAACTGCAGAACAAAGCCAATAGCGCAACTCGATTTTTTTTTTTTTTTTTTTTTTTTTTTTTTAAGCAAACCACACCATATTAATTTTTACTCTATTTTTAGGCTCTTGAAATATAAATTTTTTCGCACAGTAGAGAACGTCAGCATTTTAAAGTTTTTTTTTTTTATTAAACAACTACGTCATGTTTTAGGCTATTTTTTGCTCTCGAAATACCCTACTGGAAAAAATTCAAAATTATTTTCGAGTGGCTGTATCTTTGGTAAAAATGGTTGTACTTACGTGAATGAAAAAAAAAAAAAAAAAAAAAAAAGCAATTGAAGCTTGATGTGTCTGGTTTATGGATCTTGCGATAAAAACATTTTCCAACCATCAATTAGCACAAAATTCTGACGAATATCATGGATAGAACATTTTTTTTTTTTTAATTTTTAGTGTACAGACTTGAAAAAATTTTTCTCGACATAACCACTATATTCATTGGATAGGTGGTTCAGTTGGCTTCAATTCCGTTTTTTTTTATGGCCTCGAGATCACCCTTCCTTGCTGAGTTATCAGAAAATGAACGAAAATGCGTAATTTCCTCTTCTCTCCTCAATATCTCAGGAACCAATGGCAGCTCAAAAAATGGAAGGGGGGTTTCGGAAACTTCGATTCATTCTCTACAAGGTTCTGGCGAGAAATTTTTTTTTCATTCCTAGCACGACTTTGAAGAATTTCGGAAAAAAGGTCTTTTTGAAGTTTTTTAGAAAATCACGTGCCACATTGAGAATATTGGGAAAATGAATAATGTTGAGTGTGCATCTTACAGGTCATTGTTCCCCCGAAAGCCCTACAAAATTTCAACCTGATCCATCAAGCTGTTTCATTGTTTCATGCGAGTGAATTTTTGAAGAAATTGAAGGATCGCGTTTTTCTATCCATGATATTCATCAGGATTTTGTGCTAATTGTTGGTTGGAAAATTTTTTATCGCAAGATCCATAAAGTAGACACTTCAAGCTTTAAATTACGTTTTTTTCATTCACGTACGACCATTTTTACCAAAGATACAGCCACTCGAAAAATTGCAAAAATCGAGATTTTTTTGATGCCTTAATTTTTTCCACTAGTGTATATAATTTCAAAAAAAAAAAAAAGTTAAACCGAGGTGCTTTGCTAATTTTGTTCCAACAAAAGCCTGTATTATTTAAAAATTGCATTAGCAAGTTTATAATATTTTAAGAGCCTAAAAATGTGAGATTGTTTTTAGAAAAAAGCTTTAAAAAACTGAGGTGTTTTGCTGGATGTGTACAAAGCACCAAGTATTTTTTAAAAAATACTAACTTGTTCAAAATTTTTATGATTTTCAAGAGCCTAAAAATAGCCTAAAAATGTGACATAAGTAGTTTTTAGAAGAAAAATAAAAAGTTAAACCTAGGTGCTCTGCTTAAATGTTCCAACAAAAGTATTATTTAAAAAATACCAATTTTTTAGAAAAGTTTTATATTTTAAAAGCCTAAAAATAGCCTGAAAATGTGGTGTGGTTGTTTTTTAAAAAAAGCTTTATAAAACTGAGGTATTCTGCTGGATTCTTTTGAAGCTAGCAAAGTGCCCTGTATTTTTTAAAAAGTACAAATTTTTTTCGAAAAGTTTTATAATACCCAAAGAACCTAAAAATAGCCTAAAAATTTGGTGTGGTTGTTTTCAGAAAAAAGTTTTAACATACCGAGGTGCTGAGCTGGATTCTTTCGAAGCTAGCAAAGCACACTGTATTTTTTAAAATATACTATTTTTTTTTGAAAAAAATTTATATTTCAAGAGCCTAAAAATAGCATAAAAAATTGGTGTGGTTGTTTTTAGAAAAAAGGCTTAAAGAACTGAAGTGCTCTGCTGTATTTGTTCGAAGCTAACAAACCACACAGTATTTTTTTAAAATAACTAAATTTTTTTTCGAAAAGTTTTATGTTTCAAGAGCCTAAAAATAGCCTAAAAGTGCGGTGTGGTTGTTTTTAGAATAGCTTTAAAAAGCTGAGGTGCTCTGCTGACTTTGTTCCAACAACACACCCTGTATTATTTATAAATAACTCTTTTTTTTTTTCAGAAAGTTTTATATTTTAAGAGCCTAAAAATATGGTGTCGTTTTTATAAAATAACTTAAATAACTGAGGTGCACTGCTGGCTTCATTCGAAGCTAGCACCTTGATTTTTGCAAAAAAAAAACGAGGAGCATAAAATTTTTGAATAGGGTATAAAAATAGCTTTAAAATTGCCTAAAAATATAGCATAGGTTTTTATCTCAAAATTGCTTAGGTGCTCTGCTGCTAACTTTGACATGTTGGTGCCATCTATTTGTGGAAAGCAAAAGATTAATGTAAAGGTAGAAGAGTAAGCTCTCAGAATAGCTATAATTATTTGTCTGTAGTTTAAGGAGGCAACACTCCCATCCTTTCAAGCAAAACTAAACAAGTCCAAACTGTTTCTTTGTATATCTCGGAAACTGCGGACGATTTTTGAAAACTGTTTGGTATTCAAAACTCAAAATACATCCTAAAACTATTTTTATTAAAACCAAATTTTAATTAAATAGGAAATCGCTGTAGGGATAATATCACTTTTCCGACTTTTGAGTTATGCTGGACTTGTTAAGTTTTGCCTGCAAGCTCCTCAAAGAGTAGATTACATTAATGTAAATTCAAAAAAAAACCTAATTAATTTTTAAGTTTTACAAGTTTCAATAAGTGTTATAACACCTGCATTAAATAAATAAAAGCAATATATAGTTATGAGGAAAAAGCATTATATATAGTTGTGAGGGAAAATATTCATTTTATTCTCAACATGTATAATTTTAAACAAACGTCCATATCTTGCAGAATAGACAGTTAAAATATACAGCGTGACCCCGGATGGACTGAAAAAGAGGAACAACTTTTTTATTTTCAACTTTTAGAGAAAATGTTATTCTTCATAAAAGTTTTTGCTTGTTTCAAAATAATAATTCAAGCAGAAGTTGAATATCTCTTTGCTTTAGTGAAATAATAATAATAATAATAATAATAATAAAAAAATTATTTGATTTTTTGTTTTTGTCATTACTTTCACTAAAACAAAAAGATATTCAACTTCTGTTTGGATTATTATTAGTTTTGAAACAAGCAAAAACTTTTATGAAGAACAACATTTTCTCTTAAAATGAAAATAAAAAGTTTTTCATCTCTTTTCAGTCCACCCGGGAATTAAATGAATAGCATTTAGACATAGGTAATAAAGAGAAGATGCTATGAGGATACTAAAACTGTACCCATTTTTTCATTACACTTTTACATCATGTGTCAAACTTGAGTTAGTGGAGCTAGTCAGTTTTGGTGAGAATAAATGCCATTTTTTTAAAATAGCTTCATTTAAATGATATAAAAACATTTTCATTCCGCTAGTCTTCAATTATAAAATTATTGACTTCAAATAAATTAAGTTGCCATTTTGAATACAATTTTCCATCAGTCAGGCATCGCTAAGTGCATCCATCTGTCATATCACAAAATAGTGTTTATGTCGTCTCTACTTCATTCTAACTCAATGATGAATAGTGATGTTATATAAATAAACTAGCTAATTTTCTTTACTAGCACCTTATATGAGGTCACATAGTTAACATGTTTCAATCTTAATGCAGGTAAACAAACGGCAGGATATTAGTGCATGCATCTGTATGACATTCTCCAGGTTTGTTGTAGGTATAGTGGTTATTTTTTTAACCCTTTCAGACTTCCCACGGCTCCCCCCTGAAGGGTTCTAACAGGTTCCACCTAATCCAGCTTGGGTTCCAGCATGGCTCCCTTAACCAGGCTTGGGTTCCAGTAAGCCTTTCCTCTCCTAGAGATTGTATGGCAGCACTGCAGCCTCATGGGCGTATTGTGCCACCATTTGGTTGCCCTACTCCTCTCCTTTCATTTAACTTATACATTTTACCTCTATACATTCCACCTAGATGGGCCACAAGCTTTACGAGTTCAGTCACCCTTCTAGGCTGTGACTGATCCCATACTGTTGGGCTGTGATCAGTCAGCCAGTGACCTAGTTACAGTATAGAAAAATATAAATAATTATGTGTACCAGGTAATTTCGTGTTTCCAGGACATTTGCCGACCTGATGGTCGGAAAGATTACAACGCTAGCAACCAGCACAAAATTTCAATATCACATTTTCTGATCAAATATAATATACCAAATAAATAAGGCTAGCAGCTAGCACAAAATTTGAATATCACAATTTCTGATCAAATGTAAGTAATATACCCAATAAGTATTTGTTCTTATGGATGTAATATTAATCAATTTTATATGTTTCTCCAATAAATCTATATCAAATACCTATTTACATTAAATGTTTTTTTGATCAGAATTGAAGTTGAAAATAGATATAAAACTAAAATCGATTAATAAAATTATGAATAGAATTCAATACAAATAAAAGTTATCATTATTTATCAAAGAGACAACATGTTAATCTTGTAAAAAAGAAACCTAAATATAGATAAATATGGATTTCACTTACGTTAGAAGGTCATTTAGAATATCTATCGGAATAGAGTGTTTTACGGTTCTCAACTCAACGTTTTCTACTTCACCCATTTCTCTTTATCACAATGTATTAAAATCATTAACAGGAAATAAGAAAAAACACAAAATATTACGTGAAATGCATGAAAAAATGCTTTTGCGTTTTGCTTTCTTCGTTCATTTTAGACATTTTATTTTGTTATGAGCAGGACCACAGAACACTTGCTTTCACACAGCATAGGTCATGGGACAAAACACGATTTTCACAGAATTGACAAATACGTCAAAATGGTGACATGACATTTTATTAAAAAATTATTTAAAGATTTAACGTTTTTGTCGTAATATCTTTCAGTATTTGTGCAATTTTGATGCAAAGCTAATAACATATTTTTTTAAAAATTGTCCAAATCTATTACTCATTTGAAATTTTGGGATTATAAATATTCTTGCCGTGATGCGGAACTTTAGACACTACCAAAATTAACAGAGAACGAGAAGTCCTGCCCTGGTTGCAAATGGAAAGAAAAAATTAAAAATTGTTGGGTTGAGGTGAGGTTGAGTTGAGTGAGGTGTGTGGAGGCTGTGCAGAGAATAGAAATACGTGTGTCTTTATACAAATATGGCTGCCAATTTAACACTAGAACAAGAAAATGTAAGTTTTAAATTGTTTAGATTTTACAGTATATGCATATTATCATTTCGTACACAGGAAATAGGAGTATCCTCTTGAAAACCACATTTGTTGTTTGTATAAATCCTCTTTTCATTTAAAAACAACTTGTTTTCGTTACATTCGGTAAATTAATTTAATTTAATTCTGGCTTTGTTAAAACCACCCACACACGTACCATTTTGTGTATAAAAAGCCATATTTATTATTTAAACATACGTAGTTGAATGAACCAATGTTTATAACAGGTTTTTATTCTGTAACAGAAAAAAAAACAATTCCACAACTACACAATTTTAATAAACATACCTACCTAGGTCTTCGGATCCTAAATATTTTTTAGAAATAACGTGTTAATTCATACTTGAGTACTTATGTAGGTACTTCCAATTTAATTGTTGTAATTTTGTTCTTCTGATGTGAAAATATTCCGATTTACAATTAAAAATAAAACTAATAGGTATTTAAATATTTTGAATGTGACTTATATTTTGTTGAAATAAATAATAAATATAGATGTTATATTTATTAAATATATAAATATGTATATTTATGCCAATATTTTACAATGATAGATTAAAGTATGTGGGGTAGAATGGGACAAATAATAGCAGATTTATATTTAGAGTTTTAATATTATCATATTGTAGGACATAGGATACCTATAAGTACATTGTTGACATTCTGGTCAATTTGTTAAGCCACTTTAATAACAGCTAACAGTAATTACTATTAATTAGAACTGAGTATGGATTCTTCCTGGCATTAATATCTAATTAATTATAACTTAGAAAAATTCTGGTTCTTATGGAATTCGAATCTGCTCACTGAAAAAGTTGGAAGAATAAATATCCACCTTGATAATGTACTGAATAAGTACATATCCTTTTTTTAAAGCCTTTCAAGCTTCCAGCTGCTCTCCCCTGGGAGGGTTTAGGCAGGCTCCCCCCAAATCCGGCTTGTTCCAGCTTCAGCCATAAAATCAGGATTGGTTTCCAGCCTACCTTTCCTCCTGTGGGGTTCCTGGTGGCAGCCAAATTCAAAAACCTTAATGTCCTTGTTTACTGTGTTATCAACACACATTAATAATAATTCCCATGTTGGCCTGTATCTTTTTATCGAGTTAAATGATTATCACATTATTATATATGTCACATGAGGTTAGTATCCTACCTTCTAATATATATAAAAATAAATGAGTACCTACATTTCAATAAAATCATTGCTGTCGGATGTCAGTAGAAAATATAATAGTCCTTCATCTGACTGCAGAAAGTGGCATGTCATGCTTTTTCTTGCCAGTTGTAGTGGGTATAGGGGAGTGGGGTTAACAACATACTATGTCCCGTTGGTGGGAGCTGTCGTGTGACCTGTCAAATTCAAAGTAAAGTTCCTTATCCATGGTTTTTTCTTTTTTGCTGAAAATGAAATATATGCTTCTAGAGGTCCATAACAATAAAAAAATCCTTTACAAGTATTTTCTGTCTTTCGGTTTTGATACCTACTCCCGGTGTAAGGATTTCAGTCAGGACATTGGATATTTACCTTTTTCAACTAAATTCGGGATATAACTTAAAACACTTTTTTTTATTATTTTTTTTTTATTTTTTTTTTTGAATCTAAGATGATATTGCAAGCATTTTTTTCTGTCAGCAAAAAGGTTGATATTAAAAAAACATATTCGGCGTCTCTGTCTCCCAGACGTGTTCTAGAATAATCAAGTTGCCTCAATTGCTACTGTTGCTGGTAAGAAATTGTGGATTTCCATTTAGAGCAAGAAAATACGTATCCTGTGTAATCTATTAGTGTGATGTACTTAAGACAAATAAGACTTAGCCTCAAGCAGTGTTTATACATTTGGGGGCCACAGCACCTGCAACACTTTTTCGCCTAAAACACCTCACTGCCTGGCCGTCCAGCAATGTGTATTAGATGATCTTCCAAAAACCAATACTTTATGCTACTAAGTTTGAACAGAAATATCAATAAAGTGTTTTTACTAATTTTGAAATACAAAGTGACATTTTTTTGTAATCACATCAAGTGTCATGATTTACTTTACGCAAGCAGTTGCATTATGTTGAATATTATAAAACTGGTTTCGAAAAATTCATTATCTTACCAGTTGCGAAAAGCAAACAAATAAAAATAAATCTTTTTTAGTTTTAAAATCAATAATATACATTATCATTGAAAGTTTATATCAAGGAAGGGAAGGTTCACTTATAAAAATAAAATTTAGTTAAACTTACAACCTAGTAATAATATTGTATTGGTCCTTATTTTCTATTCTAAATCAGCACAAAATAATTAAAACACGATACACGACAAAATAACCCATTTTTTTCAAAACGAAATAACTTTAAAACACTACAAGTCGTTGAGAATAAAATTAATATTATGTTATATTTTTCAATAAAATTATGCATATGCTACTAAAAATACAAAAAAGTAGTAATATTGGTTGCCTAGATGTCAGTAATTTCTTACCAAAACACAATTTTATAAATAATTTAGTAAAAATTACAAAACATTGTATGTAACACGTTACGAAATGGCGTTATATGTAGCTCTGCTCTTCCCGCAAAATGTTCACTCGTTATATAAAATGAGGCGTTTCGCAACAGGAGAGGGATTTATATGTGCGAACTCGACACGTAACGAATCAAATAGAGAGGGACATTATATAAGAATCGCATTCTGTGGAATGAAGATAGTCGTCTCAACACGTGCCCTATTGAAAGATGAATCCCAATGCTGGTTTAATAAATAGCTATTCTTATACATTCAAGGTTAACAGCTATGCATAACTATATATTGTGACGCGAAGCCGTCTCTGTTCTTTGTTTACTACCTTACCCGCGGTATGAAGCCTAGTGCTGGCCATATAAAGACAAACGCACAGAGAGGGAGTTCCCGTACGTTCTGGGTCGCATAGAGTGTTCTGGTACAGAGCTGGCTTTATATAAATAGCGCGAGTTGGTCGATGGACGATAAGTTTCAAATTAAGTGTTAGACAGTAAAGACAAATTGTAATAAATAAATAAGAATTGTGAGTTATATTAATGTCTAAGTATTATATAAATTAATTACCATAAATAAATTAAAGTCATTACAAATATCCCCGGAACCCTTTTAATTCTGCCTAAGTGGTAAATATTAGATAAGTTGTTGGTCTCTAATATATTCCTGATCAAACAGTTATAGAGATTCGTGATCGATTTAGAAGGTGCCGACCAGTTTTCTTCACGTCGTGCGTCTTGCAAAACACTGATATGCGCCCTTATTTATTTTTTATTTTTTTATTTATTTATTTATTACACAATATATAATTAATACACTTAATTTTGTTTATATTAAACAAACATCGCTACTAAAATGTTTTTATCAAACTTTAAAGAAAAAGAAAAATTCGAAAATAACTAGAGGTGCTAAAATAATCAGGTGCTAGCAAACCCCACACGAAAACCACGAATATCCTACAAAATTATGTTACTTTAATAATTTTTGTAAGTTCCCTTCTGTGCTTATAGCTATAGTCCAGGGAAGTTAGGAAAAATAGCGGAACTTTGCTCATACACCAGATATCGAGAAGCGATTTTCTGCATTGTGTTCAGGTAGGTCCAGGGAATAGTATATTACATTACGAGTGTGGAAAATCACTTTTCACATAAGTGATGTACAATATTTTTCCTACGACCACAAAATAATGTCATCAAAAAAATGTAAAACCAAGGTTATTATTACTATAATAATTAAAAAGTATTTAAAAAAATAATCAACAATAATCGTATTTATTCAATTTTCATATTTTCTAAATAAAAAACTAAAAAAAAAACTAAAAAAAAAACTAAAAAAAAAAAAAAAAAAAAATTCTGCCCCGCCAGGATTTGAACGCGGTCGAAAAATGGCAAATTTGGATAAGTTCGACATCCTAATCACCTGAGCTAATAGCCCTTGTGTCTATTGAATGATCTAATCGGTTATGTATTTAACCAGAATAAAGAGCAAACATTATTTTAATAATAATTGTTAAAGATAAATATCTAGGATCTAATTTACAACAATTTCAATAATTTAACAATCATATCGATTTTAGTATTAATATGGACATTACATAAATCAAAATAGAAATTAGATGTTTGACATTTTGTGACAACTACTACGGAAAGTAACATTCTCACTCGGGTGGAAAGTAAATTCTTATTCATACGCGTGTGATATAGGGCACTTTCCATAGGACTATATAGTGTGATATGTGTCACTTTCCTAAGTGGTCGTAGGAAAACAAGTTTACATGGTCTGGTTTGGCGCGTTTATGGAAAAATGCCTTCTGGGCCGAAAAATGCATTTTCCAATTGCATCATAACTTGCACCATTATAGGAACGACTGGAAACTCGGAAACCCGGTGCGCGGGGGGTGAATTGGGGGAGAAATGGCAGCGTGAATGACAGTCGCTCCAAACTCGTTACTCGGGGGGGTTTTCGGGGATGCCTAATTCAATTCTGGCATTGGCATTACCCGGGGGTGCACGCGGGTGGCTCTGTGGGGGTGCGCGGGGGGTGAATTGGGGG